ACTGGACTTTTGTCAGTTTAAAACCTCCAGGATGCTTTGCTATTTGGGCAGACCACAGTTTGCCACTGGTTTAAAGTGGGAACCATAGTGAAGTACTAAGAATGCTTGCCCTCCTCTAAAACCATTTAAAAGTCATGAAAAATTGAAAAACAGTGTGCAGAAATATTAAATGAAGAGATTTTATGCGGTTTTCTAGATGCAGGCTTTCTTATTTTAATGCTGTGTGTATCAGACAGTAGCATTAACGTTCTGAGTCTTCAGAACCAGAACTGGAAAAGTTTCACAGATCTTCTGGTCACATGCATGTTCATTTGACCCGTGACAGTGAAAAGTGTGATTATGAAAAAGATCATTATGTTATCGTTATGTGTGTTACTCATGTATTTCGTCACAATTTCTTCTCTTGTCTTTGATTGTTGAAGCTTTATCCTGCAATGCTTTTAATTCATAAATAGCTCTCTTACTCTTCCATCTACCATATGGTAAAGAGAGCTAAATACAAAGTAATATGCATTGACAAAGCACGTTGTTTTTGAGGAACATTTGATCTAATCGAAGTCTTATTTTCATTGTTAACTTTAAAAACACTGCAGCATAACTTAAACTTTCAGCTTGCAGCTATTTCAGCTGTTGAGCTGTTCTGTCTTTTTTTATTCCTTTGCTACCCAAACTCTTAACCGGCGATCCATACGTGGGTAGGCTTTGTAGCGGTAATTGTATTTAGACTGGTGAATCATTTCGGTAACCACGAGCTATTCTGGAACATGGACTGCAGTGTCGGTCTGACTGGTGACATAGAGCTCTCCCTTGGTGATGTCACATCACAGAGCAGCTCTGTCTAGGCCACTGCCCCACATCTGTGCCCCATTGGAAATGAGCACAGTGCTGCAATCCTAGCTTCCACACAGCGCATTCAGATCTTGGGAGACAACTCGGAGCTTTGGAAATATGGAAATATGATGTATGATCTGCTCAGGTAGGCTGAGTTCATAAGCACAAGACTACCCATTTAGTAAAATCTAAAGTTGAAGGTAGACCCTCGTAGCACCTTTATAAGACTGCTGAAAATTCCCATGGTGCTGAACACAGCTTTAGGCTGATGGCATAAAAACTGCAGCATTGAGTAGAATTATTTTTGTAGAATCATAGAATGGCCTGGGTTGAAAAGGACGACAATGATCATTTAGTTTCCACCCCCTGCTATGTGCAGGGTCGCCAACCACCAGACCAGGCTGCCCAGAGCCACAGCCTGGCCTTGAATGCCTCCAGGGACGGGGCATCCACAGCCTCCTTGGGCAACCTGTTCCAGTGTGTCACCACCCTGTGTGTGAGAAACTTCCTCCTAATATCTAACCAGAACCTCCCCTGTCTCAGTTTAAGACCATTTCCCCTTGTCTTATCACTATCCATTCTCATAAACAGCTATTCCCCCTCCTGTTTATATGGTTCCTTCAAGTATTGGAAGGCCACAATGAATTTTCAACATCTGACTCTTTTCTATTTGTGTATAAGCCATAATTTTAAAAAACTGTCTTATGCCATTTCTTTTCAGTGTGTGCAAGTTTGATATTTTAATTCCCAAATAATTTAATTCTGTTCTAGCAGACTTTTCTGTTCTGATTAGTTCAGGTTACCCTGGTTCATACAGAAATGTAGTTCTATCTTTGGTAACTGTTGTTTTTGTATTTGGGAATTACTGTAGAATCACTAAAATGCTGAAGTTTTCAGCAGTATACATGAAGAACAAAGGAAGTTGAGTATTATCAAGTCTTTATTAATACTTTGTTCAGCACTTTGGAGATTGGATCTGGACTGTGTGTAGTTTAGAAGTAGTTGTAGGTATTTGAATTTTCTACACTGGAGTTTATCAGATGCTAATATTGAGAGAGCAATTGATTCAGCTTTGCATTGTTTACCTCTGATTTCTGTCTTTTGATTGTTGCTAAGATGCAGGTTGAAGGCTGCAGTTTCCACGCTTCTGTGCTCGTAGTGATGGCCCAATCGTTAGAAGTTAAAAAGCACAGTGGTAATGGCAAGTGCAAGAACAGTAGTTAATGGGCCTTTGTCCCAGTTTCCTTGAACCTCAGTCCAATTTGTATTGTAGGGTGGGTGGCTGATCTACGTGTACATCTACATGTATTTAATTGAATATGTCATTAAAAGCTTTCCTTTTCCTCAAAAGGGGGAGAAGCACAGAAAAGACTGGGCTGTGATTGAGTAAACTAAGCTTTTGTTTTGTTCACATTCTTGTGTTTTGAGTTTGTACATTTGAGTGACTTGTATGCTTGGCAGCCGTTGAAGGACAACTAAAGTGAATCCACATCTCTGGAAATTGTAAGGAAGGCTGGCTGCTGTTTTGCATTTTCTAAACTACTAATGAGACTAGTGAGATGTTTGCAACCAAAGAAAAACTTCCATCTTCTTGTTTGCCTGATCTCAATCACATGTGATTGCCTTAAAGCACACCTTGTTTTGTTCACTGAAACATTTAGATTTTAAATTACCTTGGAGTTAACGTGGGTTTGTATACTGCACGTAATTTTAAAGAGTGAAATGAAAACACACAAAGCAGCTGAGCTTGCTTCTAGCTTATCTTGTTGAATTATGTGTATGGTGGTAAAATGAGATCTGTGACCTCAGTACTTACAAGTGGTACTTCCAGGTAGCTTAGACCTATGAGTTTAGTACATGATAAGACTTCAGTGTTGCTTACATAAAAGAGCAGGTTTATATATTAGATTTATTTTAAAAAATAAGATGTTTTTGAGGGTTATTTAATTCTACTAGGTCAGCAATCCTGTTTTGCGTAAATTACTAACAGGCAAATAAAGATCTTTTGTCCTTGTTGCAGTAATTACCGTTGGAGGATCAGAAAATGGAATTGCCTAGAAACGTGGGAGTCCTGGCTAAAGTTTGCCTTGGATTCACAGGGCTGAAAATCTGTTTAAACTGAATTTGAGTCTTTCTTTTTAATGGCCACCTTAATGGAACTAAGTAGCAAGTAAGCTTTTCCCCCACCTAAACACTAACAACATAAATGACCCTGACTGGTATTCAGAAACAGATTCAGTTTAAAATCTGAATTAATCGTTTAGAATCAGAAATATGAAACTGACTGGAAACAGTTGGCTGGAAACTGCAGCACAGGAAGTTCCGCACAAACATGCGCAAGAACTTCTTTACAGTGAGGTGACGGAGCACTGGAACAGGCTGCCCAGGGAGGTGGTGGAGTCTCCTTCTCTGCAGATGTTCAAGACCTGCCTGGACGCCTACCTGTGTGACCTGCTGTAGGGAACCTGCTTTGGCAGGGGGGTTGGACTCGATGATCTCTGGAGGTCCCTTCCAACCCCTACAACTCTGTGATTCTGTGATGAAACACTCTCACATGTTTATTTGTGTGGTTACGGTCAATCATTGATTCTGAAATACATGAATGGATCTTTTGTGTTGTTCCTGAAAGAATAATCAGCAGATTATTCTTAGTTTACCGGAAAGATGGATAGTCAAAGCTACCTATGTCTGTGCTTTTTCTGCTTGTACGTTTATGAATTACATTCTACAGAGGCCTATAATTTCCATATTGGTCTCAGACATTGAATGACACTGCTGAAGTGATGTATAATGTTTGTGACTCTGTCCCCAGTTGAGAATGTTGCTTTCAGGTTGTAGGGGTGCCTGCAGTAATTAACAGTTTCTATGTTGCTAGAATGGGAGGAAATTCTAAACCACCTTTGCATATATTTTGAGAACTGAAGTACATGACATGCTCAGTCGCTCTGCGTTTCGTCGGCAGGGCTGAGAGGGTAATGGCTGCAGAAAGCATAGGTAATAATTGAAGCTCCTGTGTAGAGCTGTTAGGACTCTCAACTAAGTCAGCTGTTATGGGGATGCTTACTGAATTTCTGCATTAGCAGGGCTCCTAGGGTGCAGTTCTGTACCTTCTGTTCAAAAATCCAGCATAAGCTATACTACCAAAACATTACTGGTGATGTAGGACGTTTCTACTACTGTATATGCATCAAGTAATTATCCTAAAAAGCTATTTTTTGTCTAGTAGAGAGTAATCCTAAAGCACCCCAAAGAGTTCTGTGTGGACATGTGGTGCCCCTACAGTGTTTTAAGTCAACTGTGAATGCATTGCTCTTTGGGAAACGGAGTTACTTCACTAGATCTTTTCTCCTTTATCATCTTCATTGGTGCCCTTCTGAGACTATATACAAAGTCCTATTTTTGGTTTTCCTTTCTCTATTCCTTTTTACTTCTTCTTTAAAACAAACAAACAAACAAAAAAGGCATAGGAGTTACTTGTAGGGTACACAGGTTGGTCTAGGGTTGGTCAGCAGTGCAATTGGCTTCCCCCCTCCCCGGTTAGTATTATTAGATTCTGCCAAGCATCATCACCTGCCCGTCTGTAAGAATATCAAAAGGCAAAGTATGCTGACGTGTTGTTAATGCATTTATTCAGTTTCAAACAGTAGTCTGTCTTTAGAGAGAAATATGTTGGAATCTTAGGGCTAAATTCAGTTCAATTGAGGTCTCTAAGTCAGTTCTCTCTTGATGCGAAGAACGATAACTCCTTTACTTAATGTAACCTTCAGATTCAAGAAGACCTGCGCGTTTCACCTTAATCTAAGGATTTAGATGTGCCTCTATTCAATACATGTCAGTATTTCGTTAATTAGTATTACAGCCCCATATTTCCGGAGATGGAAAAATACAGCTTTTGAGTATGAAACACAGAAGCAACACAGCTGCTTCCTAAGCAACACGTCTGCAAAATATGCCTGCATATTTCACTGATGTGTTTGAAAAGGCTGCTCTCCACCTAAGGCAGTTGTACCCTTGAAAAACACCTTTTGTTAGTATCTCTTAGCGGTGGGCTTTTCTGAAGATTACCTGAGTGTTCAACTTCATTGCAGTATGGAAATGGGCGAGTGAAAACCCTGTGCTGGTTTGAGTGCTGCAGTGTGAAAAGAATGACCTTAGCTTGAGCGACAAGGTTTTCAGCAGCCGGCAGGAAATGATGAAATGTGCTCAGAGAGAATTTTGTTTGTGGAAGTGGAGGTCAGGCAGAGCTGTGCAGGTACTGCAGCTCCCTGTGCTGTTTTGCTGCTCAGCTCCATGTTTGGGGAAAAGCAACTGAACTGAGGCATGTCTTTTAAGGTAAGTTTCTTGCTTACCAATCAAATAGTTCTTTGCTTTTTCCAACCAGAAATGTGCTGTTCTGCTTCATGGCTGGTTTGAAAGTATTTTTGGCCAAATGGAGGTGACATTTTGTAAAGCATTTAACATTTGTCAGTGTAAGGGCGTTTGTTTAATCATGGTTGGAAAGATTGCTTTCAAACAGACTGCGTCTGAAACATGCAGATTATTTTATTCATATTTATTTGTATACTTCTGTGGGATTTTCTCTATAAGTGCAGCAATGTCCACGTTTTGTGGTAGTTGTGTGGTCAGATAAGAACCATGGCATCTTTTATCTTTAGGTAAAAGATGGAAAGCTCTGATATCCGAGGCAGCGTTTCTTGTAATACTCTTTGCTTCTGAATCATATGCCATTTTAGAACAGTTGTAGCCACGTCACTTTTCTCTGTAGCTACTTTCTCAGTGCAGCTGTAAATGCTTTTCTGCATTTTCTCTGCTGGAGGATGCATCACTGCAATCCTCTTGTTCAATTTCTCTGCACTATTCTTGCTGCTCTGCTGTCAAGTTCTGCTTGAATTTGTTTTCTGAGTTGCAGAATGAACTAAGCATTAGGCACATAGATGTTAAATATTTTCATTATGGCTTTGCTGAAATCAGTTTTCATTACGAAGAATATTCTGAGCTTGCTATCTATTTCTAGAGAATAAAGAGTTGTTATTTGTTAAGCGTCTGGCCACTTTAAAGGTTTCTTAGGAATTAAATGCTTCCCAAGTGTAATCTGGAAATTAAAGGGACGTGGTCTTGTATACCTTTCTTGCTTCTTAGAAGCAAACCTAAAGGCACATTTATCTTGAATTTATTTACACTGAGTTAAACAAAGGTTTCTTTCATGTTGGAAGACCTTGACAGGACGTGTTAATTAATGGATGATGTCACGGGATCTAAAAAGGTGACAATTAGAAGACTTCTATTCAAATTGGATTTTTCCTGCACTTTAATCACTCAGTTTTAAATAATGAAAAACTTTGTTTTAAAATTTTATGTCTTTTAAATGTATAATATTTAATTTTCAAATAATTTAAATAATAATAAATCCAACAAATAATAACTTCAATGAAAAAATCTTGACTCCACAGTCAAAAGATTTTCAGGTGGTTTCCTGGCAAAATTTACTGAAAGCCAATTTTATTGTTCTTTTTTTTTTCCCACAAAGAAAGAAGTGGATTCTTGATTAAAAAAACAACAACAACAAAAAACCAGCCCTTAGTCTCCTAAAGGAGCAATTCTTACAGTTTCCTTGTTGAGTAGGCTACCATTTAGTATTACACTGACTAGCATAACACAAGTGTCTTATGGCCTCAGTCCCTTACAGCCCTGGATCTAAAATCCAAGAACTGGATATTTAAATTGATTTTTTTTTTTCCTATAGTAAGTCAGTGTTGCAGGATTTAAAATCTCAAACAAGTGTTTTGTGACCAAATATCTGCTGTCAAATTGCTTCCATATGTTGCTTCTCTTTTGTGCATCTCAACAGAAATGGGAAGTGACATACTTTTTAGTGTGTTATGGCTAGATTCTGTATTTAATGTCAGTGAAGGATACTATTCAAGGGTACTTCTTGCTGTATCTTTTCTTGTTACCTGATGAACGTGCAGCTAGTGTTCAGTATATGTCATTGTGACAGACCTCCAAAGTTTGCATAAGAATTAAATCCAGATTAAAGCCTGTATTGGCTTTAATCTTTACTTTGTGTGGAAAATGTTGTGCTGAGATCTTCGTTTCTCTTGTTTTAAAGCAATCATGAGAGGTGTTTTTTTTTTTAAAACAGAAATGATCTCCTTTACTGTGCTTGTCTGAAAGGCTTCATTATTTAACAGTACTTTCTTTTCTGTTTTTAGGAACAGTCCATATAGAAATCAGTCTGAAAATCCGGAGAGAGAATCTGGGGAATGGTGGTGTCCTTCCAACGGTTACTGACTTGACTAATATACAGTAAGTGTATGATAAAGTATGTAGTATACCCATCTTAAAGAAGTAAAAACAAAATGCTTATAGTTTTGGGGTTTTCACGTTATTCAATGACTACTTTCTTTTTGGTCACCTTTATTTCATCTCCAGATGTATTACTAATTTTGCTTTTCTTCTGCAGAGGAATCCTAATAGGAAATGTTGCTAATAATGCTTTCAGGAGGGAGTCTTACTCTGCCAAGAAGCATTGTTGATTCAGGAAGCAAGATACAACTTGGTGTAGTGTATCAAAGCTAGTCTGCATTGAAGATAGTAATGTTTAGAGCAGATAGAGAAAGATGATGTGTTTTCAACCTCCAGTGGGATGGGATAAAATAACTGAAAAAAATAATTTAAAAAATATCTACATCCTTTGAGAACTCGAGAGTGTGTTTTGTTTAAAAGGGATACTTCAGCGTTTTGTTAGCAGACTTGTTTTTGAGTTCTTAACTGCAGTAAATGGTGCTCTTAGTGTTTTTTGGAGGTTATCAAATTAAAGAAACTAGAGATGCTTTACTTAAGCGTTATAGTTCCAGACTCAAATATTAACAAGATAAAGTTTATCTTAAATCAATGCCTGAAGTTTTTGAAGTCATTGGTAATACATTTCATGTTATCTTCGTAACTTTTTCTTTGATGCTTATACTTTTGATTGAATTTGTGGCAACTGTCTCTACAAGATCATAATTCATTTGTTGCATTTGTCACGCTTTTCTGACACTGCGTATGTGTTCCCATTTGCACCGTACTTTCAAGTCTGTAAACGCTCACACGTTCTCCAGCAGTGCTTGTTTTAAAGGATGTCTAAAAATGTAAGAGATTTAGATTTTGCAGTACATTCTGAAGGACAGGAAATGTTTTCGGAAAGACTTCCAGATCTTGTAGGCAGTCTGTTTCTTTTCTAATTATGTTTCTTGCTCTGAGAGATCTTAGCTTTCTTTATTCAGAAACACATTTGAGGAAATCAGAGTACAATACTCTTGTGTTATCATGCTCCTTTTCCTTCATGAAGTAGCTGGGATTAGAGACTTGTTTACATTTCCTTCCGTAATATCAGGATGGCGTTCAAAAACGTTACGCGTTCCTTATCTGAAGAATATAAAACAGCGTGGGTGAAACTTGCTGCATTCAACCTTTTCATCGTTTTAAATTTGTAGATTTGTAATTAAATTTAACAATGCTTTTGTGTTAGAGTTCTGGCTTGGGGAAATTTATTCATTACTGTTAAATTCTCATACTGCTCAGTCCATGGTTTGAAATCTCTCCTGCAATAGCTAGCCGCTCGTGGAACTCTATTTGCAAAGCTGGAGGCTTTGCTTAGGTGGCTGAGGTTGAAAAACATCTTTTTAATGGGAACATAGGAAACTGTGTGCACCTTTTTGTCACTGAATAATCGTCCTAAAAGATCTAAATGTATTCAGATAGATTCATGAAGATTGAAACTGAAGATAGCCATTTGTACTCTTCTTGCTATGGATTGTCAGTACTCTCACTTCTCTGTAATTGATCTCTTTTTCCTGCCTTACTTTAAAGAATAAAATTTCTATCAGAACACCTTCATGAGCATCAACTCCAAATTTAAGCACTTAATGTTGTTTAGTAGTGATCATTTAAAAAAAAAAAAAAAACCAACAACAAACCTTTTTTGATCAAATGCAATAGAAGCATGTTATGCAGTGAAACCTTTCATTGGCATTGGATATTTTAACACTAAAATGTAGTAATGAAGTAATTTCTGTTCAGATCTATGCTTGGAATTTGAAGTAAGAACTTTTTGTGTTGGTGAGCAGGAGATCACAAGGGCTGGTGTACAGCAGGAGTGTTTTAAGTGTTGTGCAGCTTTGAGCAGAGCACTGCAAGTGCAGGCTCAGTTGGTATCTGAAGAACTTGAAGACTTTTACTGTCTTTTCAATTCTTGTTACTGCATCACCTCTTACACTTACAGTTAAGCAAAAGTGCGTAGTCTGAATATATTAAACTTCTAAGTACAACTAAGTCTTCTAGAACTCCCTGGGTAGCTGCATATCGACCTCATGGCCTTCACCAACACAGGCATGCCATTTAAAGTTTGTATTTATTTCCTGTGGTCGGTGTCTGTTTCTTTTAAAAATCAGAAACCTCTGTGAAGCCTCTCAACATGGTTAGCAACCATATGGCTAAAGCAAAAACCACACCATTAAAATATCCACCTGCACGGAGATGACAAAAAAATATAATTTTTCTCGGTTGCTCATTTTGCTGTGCAAGTCATCTCTTGGCTTGGTTCTAAATATGCAGACAGAGGTTATACAGACAGCGTGATGGGTAAGTCTTGAATGTCTGAAAAAAACAACCCAGTACAGATGACAGCAAATGAAGGGAGAGGAAGATAGGGGCTGACAGCTGGTTCACAGACAAGTGCATCGCCCTGGTATTGCTTGTGCCTGCAGTAAGGACACACGGTTACAAGAGAGAATTTCCCAAGAGGTTTTAAGGGTTCAATTGCTTTGTCTTCAAATATAAAACCAGACAGAAACAACAGCTCATAACTTTGGCCTGTCTTCTAAGAGTACTTGAATGACATCATAATGTAAGTATCTGAAGCCTGATGCTGAGAATCTATTTGGCAAAGTTTGGGTCCTTGTCATGCACTACAAAGATGGACTTCTGTGTTCTAATATTCAAAGATTGTCGCATTTAATCAGTAATTTAAAATGTTACTTATTTAATTAGATATTCAAGCTGTTTTAAATGGGAATGCAATAACTGAAGTAGTTGTTCTCATTCTTTATATTATATGGTGTGAAATTTATACACTGTAAAATTTCAGATATGCAGTGTTGATGTGTCAGGTGACTTTAAACTGAGATAGTCTTATCAGTATAGTTGGATTTTTTTATTGTGTGGTAAGTGTCAAGGTACTTCTGGCTGCTTTATTGATCTTCTGTTGTGTGCTGGAAACTGTTTGTTTGCTCGTTGCCTGCATGTAAAGGCAGTAAACTAATGCTATTTTTAGTGGTTTTCTCTGCTGCCTGTTACAGATGTGACATTTTAGCGAACGTGAGTATCACTGAACACTGTTGTAGGACGCTGTCTCAAATCGAATTCTTAACTCATAGTTTTGTTTTGATTTTTACTGTTTTGTTTTTAGTTCTGTGTTTTGCTTAATTGGCATTTAATACCATTTAACGCTTCTGATCCTGGGCCAGCGCGTGGGGAGCAAGGCAGCCAGTAGCAGCTGCACACCTGTGAAAGCACCTTTCCTCTGCCTTCCTCCACTTCAGGTGCAGCTGAGTGTTTCTTCTCCTCTTCCTCCTCTTCCCTGTGCTCCCATGGTGGGTGGCTGACACCAGTATGGGCTTGCCTTGCAGTTGCCCCCAAATTACCTTTCTCCAGTGTTGCGGGCACATCGGCAGCCCCATCCACATCCTGCTTGTTAGGGCCAAAGCAGATATGTAAGGAATCTCTCCTTCCTCTTTTTTAAAGTTATGAATGGCTGGGACAGGCTAGTAGCTTGTATGCTGTCTCAGTCACAGAGGAGAAGGCATAATGCAGATCATGTTAGTGTGCATTTCTTAGTTTCCTTGCCTCAGTGCTCAGAATACTGAGGTTACCACCAAATGGATTGCTGTCACCTTTCAAAAACCCGTCTGTTGTGCTGCTCTGACTGAATTCCATAGGAGGCAGCAATTTGGTTTCCCTTTACAGATTGTTTTCTTGCATTTGTTGGTGTTGAGTTTTTGGAGGGAACTAATAGATTTTCTTTGATCTCTGTGTAAGAGCATGCTATTCTCCCTTGTAGATTGGAAAATAAGAATTAAGGCAAAGCTGTTGGTTTGAGACTATGGCCTCAAAAGGCTGAGGCCTAACTTGTATTATTTGTAGGCAGTCATGTCTTCTAATCACAATTAGGGGTGTTTACAGCGCTGAATAGTAGTGAATAAACTTGGTTTGATGCCCGTGCATCCTGGAGCTAAAATTCCTAGATGTCGCTTGAATGCATAAACTGAAGAAAACATTTTTTTCCTCTGGTCCAATCCGTGTGTGGATTTCAGGCTTTGGTTTATAATTTTACATTATTTCTCAAAGACTGTGTTTTTCTGACCATGTAGAGCCATCCAGAAATTGCAACCCCAAAGAAATCAGGAGCTCTCCTACAGCAGATTGTTTGGACAGGATAGAAAAAGAAGGAATGTCTAAATGGCTTTATTTAACCCAAAATACAAGATACACTTTTTTGTAATGCATGTTTGTGGTAGCTGGGCTTAGCAGCAAAGCACAGTGGTTTGTACTTGAAGCACAGGATGTTTGTTTCTGTACAGCAAAGACTTCAGTGTGTAATACAGAAAAATACCATAGCTGAAAGTGTTTGTTAGCAGCCGGTCTAAGCTGAGTTGTATTCGTTCCCTTATTTGTATTTCACTCCCTAGTCACAGAATGTGGAATCCTGCTGAGTCAGATCCAGAGTGACAACGTCTGCTCCTCCAAACAGGAATTTAAAGGGGGATGTGAACAGGTGCATTTCTTCTAGACGCTGTTAAACTGCCTTTGAGTTTGCTTCTGAAGAGTCCTTAAAGAAAACACAAGGATAGTATTAATGGCTGAAGAGACTGTTCGGTTTCCTAAAAATGAATTGATTTATTTTTTCCTGACCATGAGGAATGCTAAATGCTGGGCTGAAGTGCACAGAGAAATCGTGCAGTCTCCATATTTGCAGGCTTTCAAGACCCAACTGTATAAAGTTCTGAGGAATCTGGTCTGATCCCATAGCTCACCCTGCTATAAATGATTCAGTCGTTCATGTAACTGAAGTTTTCTTGGTTGTGGACTAATTTGTCATGCGGAGCCTCAGGATTAGAGATTGCCTTGCTTTAAAGCACCTGTCGTACACGAGAGATTAGTTGGAAGGATGATTGCTATGTTGTGTGGGCACTGGGAATTCCTGTTGGCTCATTCTGTTCTGCAAACAGTGAAGTTCTAGAAGTGGGGCATGAAAGATCATGCCTTCTGCTTGTTATCTGGATTGCACATTTTGGGAAATGTTGAGCAGGTCTGTAGGTCAAGGCTATGGTATTGCCTTCAGGTTTTGAGTATGTGAAATAGTGTTTTATCTGCAGATGTCCTTCATGTTGGAATATCAGACTTCCAGCACCTAGTTTTCCTCTTTGTTGCATGCAGTAAGCAACATTAAGACCCTAATTTTTTTTCCCTTTTTAATGCTATCCTCTTAAAATGTAGACATCTTCCAAGGGGGTTCAGAACATTAAAATCTGACAATTTGACAAACAGTTCTACGTGTTTCACAATAAGAGTTCGTTAAAAACTTGTCTGTTCTGAAGGAAGAGCTGGGTTGAAGAATGCCTTTAAATACTGTTTTTCCTTTTTTTTTTTTCTGTTAGAAAACGCTTGAAGAGAAATTTTGGAATAGCCTGGATTATTTTGCCATCTTAAGTCTGCATTTGTTGCCCAGACTTTTGCAAGTCGTGTGATGTGCTAAGCTCTACCACCTGACACAACAAAAGGGAATGAAAAAGAAAATCAAGTGTTTTCCATGTGAGCAAAGTAAATGCTTTTTGAATTCTGTGAATTGCTTTCAAGGTAACAATATCAAAACTGATGTCTTGAGAGCAGAAGCAGCATATTTCATTCAGATCTTTCTGTGCAATTTCTGAAGGCCTGCTTGGCTACTCTTAGTTAATATTTTCTAAAAATCTCATTTGTTGAACCCTCAGGATATTTATAGCAAGTCTTTTCACAATAGAGGGCACTGGCAGTAGAGGAAAAGCATCAAGGTTTTTAGCATGTAGCATTTCTAGAATGTTCCCTAAGGAGGAAGCTTTTTTCTTAATAAGTCTCATTTGTTTATTGCTCAGTTTCATAGTGTCTTAAAAATCACTAAGAAATTTGAGCTTTTCTTACCAGTGCCATTTCTGTAGTTACTACAGTATTTGCTATTTAGTATCCTGTAACTATTATCCTATAACTATTTAGTTTAGTTACTCTTTTCGGTTGGAATTTGTGGTTTGCTTTGAGCTACATGAGTTCTCTTAGCTCCTGTGTGCTGACACTGTGGTGAACAACACCAGGGCTGTGTGCTATTAAGATCTTCTCTGTGCTGCCTCACATTCGGTGGTTTGTGTCTGCAGCAACAAGGGTCAACCTTTGATAGATAAAAAACTAGGATTTTATTCTGTAATGAAAATCCCAGAGATCTTTGGTACAGAGGAAGAAAATATCGAAGATTTAATACGATGATGTACCTGCTCAAGAAAGCTGGTGTGCGCTCAGTAATGATGCACCGTGAGTGGTGAGCTGGCTGACAAGTCAGCTTGGAGGTGGGCAGAAACTGCCAGAACACCATGCTACTGCCTGCTCAGCAAGAAAAAGGTAATGTAGGGCTCCTAGAGAGGGCCTGAAGCTGTGGAAGAAGACTGAAGCTGGAGTGCCTGAAGCAAGTTGTGGGAATGCAGGAACTGGGTGTGTGCACCTTGCTTTCTTACGGAGTTGCTAGTTCTGCTACTTACCGCCTTGCTGAGCAAAGAACTCCCAACTTTTTACTGATCATATGCAGGAGCCATCTCTTTTGGCTTACTGATCTAAATGGCCCAGATTTTATTCTGGCAGCCTTCGTTGTTCTCAGGCTTACTTTTCACAGTTAAGCATATGACCATCACTATCAACATGTAACTGACTTTCATTGTGAAGCCCTGCAAATTCATTTGAAGGATGGGAGAACCAAACCCTAACAAAAAATGTGCTAAAGAACTGGCTGCTGTAATAAATCTATTGCATGAGAGCAGCATGACTCATTCAGTTTGATGTTGGTATTTCAGTATTCCGTTTATTTTTAAGTTGTGCTGTACAAATAGTGTTTTTTTGTGCCTGTTGTTGCTATGACTTCATAATATTTCCCTAAATACGCTTGCTCATACTTTCTCACAGCATAGTACTTGGCATAGGAAAACCTTAAATCCATCAGAATTTCCTGAGTGCTGATCATTTTCATGCTTTTATGGAAAAAAAAAGGTTAGTGTGTTACGTACTTTTGGTTTAGGAGGAATAAAACTTTGAGGGGGAGGAAATTGCCACAACCTGCTCCCTCATTTAAGAAAATGTTCCTTTGTTTCAACCTTTCCTATTTTTCAGTGTAGCTTTTCAGATAAAGCTTTCCAGTGCTCATATAGCCTAGGCCGTCTTAATGAGAGGAAAGGTAAGAAGGTAAGCTGACACTGCCGTTACTTCAGAACACTTTCACTGTTTTCTTTAAGAAGGAAAAAATAGGTCGTCTGTGCTTTTTTGGGGGGCTGTAGGGGGTGGCTGGCTTGATTTGGGTTTATACTTTTGATAAAATTGTTTTTCTGAAACACTGAGCTCAACAATCCTCAGCTGGATCTTTCCCAAACAGCAACAAACACTTTGGTTTAAAGATTGTGTTGTAACTGCTGTAGGAGATCGATGCAACCCTTCCTGAGAGCCTCACTCAGTCTGCATAGCATTCCTGAGTTGCATTTGCTTCATTCACTGTTGGTTTTGAGAGTATTGTGTTTGTGCTCCTTAATGGGGAATATCAGAGAGGCAAATAAACATCTGGGAAAATAGCTAGCAGTGTTTGGTCAAGCAAGTTGTCTTCTAGGTGTCCTTTTGATCAGAAAAAGTATCTGGAATTACTGTTAAAGGTACCACTGCATAGCCTTGTATTTTCAGGAAAACTTTAAAATAATCAAACTCTTGGGAGGAAAAAAAAAAAAAAAATAACAACTGTTTAATGTCAAACTATTGTTTCAAGTTTGTCCAACAACTTGAAAGCTTATGGCACTCTTGCATCCTCTCTGTGCTGCTTCTACCTATCTGGGAAGGGCTGTCAGAAAACAACACTTACAAATATGTTCTTTGTTTTCCTTACTGTAAGAATAGTCAGGGCCGATGTTTACTTGAAAAGAATATATTCTAATTAAACAATTCTTAGCAGCCTATGTGTAAACAGTGTTTTAGTGCAAGAAACAAGTAGATGTGGTGCTTAGGGTAGTGGTTTAGTGGTCATTGTGGTGATGGGTTGATGACTGGACTTGGTGATCTTGAAGGTCTTTTCTAACCTTAAAGATTCTATCATTCTGTGTTCCCCCTTGATTCCATACTAGCACAGGTAGTAAAACTTTTCTCCTGGTAATTATTATTAGCAAATTGAAGATTACTACACTAACATATAAAACTACTTTGTCTCCATATTTCTCATCATCCTTTCAAAGGTACAGAAAGACCTTATTACCTCTGTATTTTAAGTGTAACAGTGACTAATTGTAAGGAATTATAAATAAGGATTTCTGGTTTGTGACCAAATGACTCTTTATGGAGAATTTTATTTTTTTTTTTATAGAACAACTGCTACCCCTTGTTTCCTTGACTTGCAGAACCCTTCCTGTATTTTTGAACATCTTTTTGAAATTAAATGTAATTGATATTCTAGGGTGGATAAGCGATAGGATGGGGGGAATGGTTTTAAACTGAGACAGGGAGGGTCTGGTCAGATATTAGGAGGAAGTTTTTCACCCAGAGGGTGGTGACACACTGGAACAGGTTGCCCAAGGAGGCTGTGGATGCCCCATCCCTGCAGGCATTCAAGGCCAGGCTGGATGTGGCTCTGGGCAGCCTGGTTTGGTGGTTGGCGACCCTGCACATAGCAGGGGGGTTGGAACTAGATGACCATTGTGGTCCTTTTCAACCCAGGCTGTCCTATGAGACTGTGATGTCTCTTTGGCAGTTTTCAGTCCTCTATTCAGTATTACAGCTATTTCAGTTTTCTGTGAATTTGAATGTGGAAGTAAAAGTAATTGTCACCTTCAAGTAGACCTTTTGCCATGAGATCTACAGCTTTTTACTTAGTACACTGGGAATAGTAGGTATGTATTGTACTGTCATTTCAAATCTATTCTCTCCTTTAGAATCCAGAGGAGCATTTGCAAAAAAAAGCAAATGACACACCTGTTAATTAGCTAGCCTGGTAAGAGGTCTGGTCACAGGTGACTGTAGGTGAAATAACTGTCTGAATAACTTATGTACTGAGCTTTTCAGGGAGGAGGCTGGCTTTGCCTCCTGCAAATTGAATTCAGTAACTCTAATGGTCTTTCCTGTAGCTTTTTGCTTTCTGTTATTGAGAAAGGAAGCTGTTTGCTTTTGTGGGTGCCTTTAGCTTTCCACTAGATTATTTGAATCTAAGATTCCTGTAGAAATGGCAGGAATGGAGGAGGTTTATTTTTAAATCCATAATTGTTCTTGGCCTTAAATGTTTCCAATGGTTTTTATTACATAATGTAGTTTTCCAATGAAAAAGAAATGGTTATTATATTGTTAGCAAAGTTCAACTGATCGTCTCTTAGAGTGCTTTGCATGCTTAGCAAGTAGAAATCACACTGTTCAAATGTCTTTAAGAGATTTCCTTTTTTTCTTAAAGTAAATTTAAAATGTAAGTTCAGTGATATTTGACAGATGAATCGAACAGCTTCTGAACAGCGTAAATACGATGGTAGAGCTGAGAACTGACAGGAAATGATTCTGTTTCAGAATGCACTTACATGCTGTGTGTGCTTGGCATTTGTTTTTATTTTGTTCTTCATGATATCCAAGAATTTAAGGATGGTACTTCATTTTTCTTCTAATAACTGTTCTTCATTAATAACGCTCTTTTTTTTTTTTTTTAATCTCTGTGCAGGTTTTGAAGGTGTTGAAGCTCTGAATACTTGCAAGCTCTCCATACATAGAAATGTCTGGCTCATATGATGATTCTGTTGGAGTAGAAGTTTCTAGTGATAGCTTCTGGGAGGTAACCTAAGCTTTTTATTCACAGTATTTTGATTTTGTATTTTTTCTCTTACTATAGAAAATTTGTTTTTTTGTGCACGATAAACTGTGGAGGGAGCTGCAATATAAGATGTCTCCTGTTACTGTGATCTGCAGAAATAGCCTTCAGGGTAAAAATGACTTCTTAGATTTTTGTCCCAGTTCTGTCAAGGCTTTTTAAATGGCAGAGACTTGAGGAACGTCCGTTCTGATGCGATGTGCAGTTCAGAATCTAACCTTTGCAGATTCTAATTGCTGGGGGCGGGGGGAAGAGCTTTTAAAATTATCAAGGGAATTGAATGAACAATATTAAATTGAAAGTAACTGGTTAAACACTATTGTAAGTATACATAGCTTAATATTTAAGCTAATATATGAATTTACTGCATTTGCTGCTGGTGCCTAGGCGTAAGATTTTTTTTGAGAGAGAACTTATGCTCTCTCAGTGTAAGAGCGTTCATGCAGAAAGGTAATATAAAGCACAGTGCAAGATCACACTAACTTCTGCCAAAGTCTGGAGGAGGCTTTCACATGTCACAATAACTTCATAGAAGTTTAAAGAGAGCAAACTTCATAAAGCAGAAAGCATGTTACTAAAGAAGTTAATTACAGGAAGCAAGTGTTTGACACAGCCAGTACCACAGTGCTGGCTGTGGTCAGTATGCAGTCTAGATGAACTGTATTCAGTGGGGTAAATTTCTACCGTGACAGTTGACTGGCAACTGAATTTAGCTGTAGTAAATATGGAAATGACACGGGGGAAAATATCTGGATCATTCTGTGTCAGACATCTTGGTTTTGGTTGTCTACCATTGTGTTTCCTTTTAGATAAAAGCATTTCTAGGCTTCCAATGAACTCTGGTGGTAATTGTGTTTTGATGCAGATTTCCTGTATCTAAAAGGCCTATCTAATGCTGAAGTTACTGTTGGGGCTCTTTTTAATAGGCAGCTAATGCTTATTGGGAGATTTATTTACTATTATGTGAACAATGACTATTCTATTCATCAAGAATTATTTTAAACATATTGGATTGTTAGTTTTATGAATACTTTTTTTTTGTAGGGGCGCTCTGTAGTATGATAGCAGAAAGAATATGGGATCTTCATACTCTAGAGGTCTCTTTGGAGCTTCCTCCTCTCCAGACTGAAGATCCCCAGCTCTCTCAGCCTGTCCCCATAGGGGAGGTGCTCGAGCCCTCTGATTATCATTGTGGCACTCTGAAGCCATTCTGCACCCAACTTGTATCTGTGCTTGAGATTGCCTTAACCCAGGTTCAGGACTTTGTTTTTGGCCTGGCTGAACTTCATGAGGTTTACATGACCCACTTCTCAAAACTATCCAGGCCCCTTTTGATAGCATCCCTTCCCTTTAGCATGTCAACTGCACCACTCAGCTTGGCGTTGTCTGCAAACATGCTGAGGGTGCACCCGATTCCACTGTTTGTGTCACCTACAAAGATACTAAATCACACTGATTCCAGCATCAGTCTCTGAGGAATGCCATTAATCACCAATCTCCATTTGGATGTTGAGCCATTGAGCACCACTTTATTGAATGTGACCATCCAGCCAATTCCTTATCCAGCAAGTCATTATAATTCTATGTAGCATCATGTGACAGTGACGATTTTTAATCCTGGTCCTGAACAAGATGCTTGGACTAAAGCACAACTTAAGGGCAAATGGGAAAGTGCTGAATGTGCTGCCTGCTGCAGTGTAGCTTTGATATAGAATACTTTGAGCAATTTCTTTCATCTGGGAATAGTTTTCTTGTGACCTCCACACTGTACTTTTGTGCATTTCAGTGTGAGTCATTGCAATTGAACATATATGCCTCTTACTAGCCTGGACTGTAGTTTGATTTATATTTTCATTAAATGAATAATTAAGACATCCTGCAGATACTTCAGCCAAATTTTGTCATGACATAAGGTACCTTTTGTCTCTAAACCTTGCCTTTCTGCAGGACAGCCTGAAAAAACAATAAGACAAGAATTACTCCTGAGTTCAAGAGTTAATAAGGGGGAGGTATACCAGGCTTCCACTATCAGTAGAACATTAACTTGAAGTGAAGGACATCTTGTACCAAGATGTCAACTTAAGAGTAACTCTTCAGTATTAACAATGACATGTAGACACTAATAGCAGGCCTGTCAAACTTAATTACCAAGCTCTTGGCTTGCTGGGTTTGGAGCCATCTTTGCAACCAAAGTTTGTCTGAATTTTAGATTAAAATTTGTCATTTTTCATTATCTTCTGAGTCAATTATTTTGTTTCTGAAAATTGCAACTTTGAGCTCCAACCTTGTCTTTCTCAAACTGGATAAATAAACTGCTGTGATCCATGTTTTTCATCTTAATTAGAAAAGATGCAGCATCTCAAGAATTGCAGCCTCTGTACTTTATGCTTCACAATAAGAATTATAGCATTCTTAATCAGTTCATAAGTTGCAGTGTTACTGCAGACTTGTCATTTGCACCCTTTCTGTTTCATCAGAAGTTTTTAAGGTGCGACATGTTCATTTTTGCAGTTTGTTTTTAAAGACAGCCTACAGTTTGTTGAAAGCCCCATTGTCGTGTTTCACTGCCACAACTGGATGCAGTGGATGTATTTAAACCTGGCTGTGCCACAGAAGAGGCAGACATGGGAAGCTTTTGAATTTGTTGCCTCATACTCCAAAATAGCTCAAATTTATTTACCTTTGGAGCTTGCTGCGAAGCACATCTTTTCCTTGAAATATACTTAGGAAAGAGTGAGGTGGCTGACTGTGGAATGTACTGTAAGAACTTCCTGTGAGGGCTGTGGTTTTTCTCACTGCGTATCTTTGAAACTGAACTACTTTTATTTTTCAGATGCTATCATTCTGTTGAGCTGATAAAACTGTGTTTATTGAAGTGTTTATAAGCTAGTTAAGTTTTTGCCGTTGCAGTTCAGACCTCCGTGAAATGTCATCTGACTTTAACTGGTCAGCTTTTCCTTTTGGATTGCAAGAACAGATGATTGGGCTTTCAGAAATACCTTTCCATGCCATAAGTTGGAAATAGAAGCTTTCACGGGTAAATTGAAAAAAGTTTTTCATTGTTTAGTTAAACTTCTAGTACTGGTTTGCATTTTTGTCTCCTAGTGGAAGAAGAAATCCATTCCAGGAGACCACATCTGTCCCTTCACCTCCTGCCCCTCCCAAGATTCTTCCAGATGTTCAGCAAATAAAAATATTTTAGGAGATGGAAAAATTGATGCTTGTTTTCATCTACGCTTGGTTGGAGAGCAAGGAATTGCAAAATATTAAGGAAGGACATTCTGAGAGATAAGAGATAACTGCTACAGGAGGGTTTCGTCAAATTTCAGCTGTAGTGATGCCCTGCATTACTTAAGAAATTGAAACCTCTTTTTCATTCTGACAGGTTTCAGTGTACCTTGATAGATTTGGCTGAACTCAGGCTGTTTACTGGGTGCAGAACTTAGGGTGTGCGCTGGGTGCACAGAGGAATCTTGCTGATGTGTTCCAAGAAGAAATTCCTTCATTGGTGTTACTTAGCTGACAGGGTAACGTGTTCTGGAAGCTACTGATTATGGCCTGGAACAGGATGGCAGCAACATTTCCAAGGGAAAGTGGGAAATTTGGTGCCCAGTATTCACCTAGAAACCTTCTGGATTTTTGCCATCTGCTATATTGAACAACAAAAAAACCCTGTTTTGTTCCCATATTCTGTGAAATTACTTCAAAATACAAGAAACAGACAACCCTATTGGCCTTCAATACAGTGATAGTATTGAATTCCACATAATTTGGTATATAAGACTGGCCTTCCGTTAATTACTATGATGCGTTTGTTAACAAGTCCCAGTGTTATGCTTGCTAATCACTGCTGTGGTCATATTAAAAATGCCTTGAGCAAGCTGAGACAAATGCTATTGTTCACTTTGATATCTGTGAAGGTAAGAAAGATGATGATTAGGCGTTGGTAGAGATCAAAGTAAAAGTATATGCATATTTTGCAAGGTAAGGCATTGAAAGGAACAGCTACAGCCTGTAGAAATGCTTATTTTTAATGATCCACAGGTTATTCATTGACAGTGCCACCTATACCCTAGATATGAGTCCTTGTTCTCCCTTATTCTCTGTTTGTGTCAGCTGTATGGGCACCTCCACGTGTATTGCTGAGTTGTTCATTAGTACTGTAAGAATACCTACTAATCCAAGCAAAAATAGGTGTTCTGGTCCGCTGCTGAATAGTGACTGGCATTAGGTCTAGAAACTCAGGCCTGTGACTTACTCTTCCCAAGCCCAGAACTTGGTATGCATTTTGAGGTGCCAGGCATGTTGCATTCTGAAGAGATAGAACCACTAGCAAGGAAACATTTTCCACTGATTCAGAAAGGAGAATTCGGTCCTCTTTGTACTGTGGTTGCATCAAATCAGGCCACAGCATGTATTTTTGTTACACCACTCCCCCACAAAAATACAGAAAAAACAACAATGGAACAAACAAAAATCAGCCCCAAACACTCTGGATAGCAGAGACAGCCAATCTGGGACGTGCCTCTGACAAACTGCATTATAAGCTCTGTATGGCAATGGTCATGGGCCTGCCAGTTTGGGTACTGATCATGTCTGTGCTTTGTGCCTGCTGCTGTCAGCCAGCATCTAAGTGAGTTATCTTCTGAGGCTGTTGGATGAGTTTAAGAAGAATTTAACTCCCTATTGAATGTTTAAAAAAAAGTGTTTTGAAGTTGAGGGATTTCAATTCCTTGTTAGTGAGTGCTTCTTCTGTTGATGAAGCCAGTTCTTCCATTTTCAAAATATTTGGACTCTACAACAGTAGATTGCTGTTGTATCTCCTGCATGCATTTTTTTCTTCTAGCTTTGAGTAGCGTAGTGCTTTCCATTTATATTGCCAGGTATTTGCTTACTGGTGTGTTTGGCTTTAGCTTTTGTGAGCCTAAGAGCTTCCTCAGGATTTTTCTTGAGTCCAGAGGCTA